CCCCATGGTGCTGTGCCTTCCTGTCCAGCAAACTATTATGGGATGTACTGTTTGTGTATTGGTGTGGGGGTTGGTCAATGTCCTTTGCCGCATGGCTGCATCCCATTGTTCTGTGTCTTGGTTGGATGGGGAGGAGTGATGAGGTGTTTCCTGCCTATACTGTAGCCCTTCCCACTGATAGGGTGGGCTGATGATGTGTTTCCTGTCCCTGGTTGTCTTTCCCCGCCCTCTGTATAAAACATGTTGTTTGTGTACAATAAAAGTTGTTGGCTTCCTGTATTAAGTAGAGCTGGGTGTTGTCTTTTTCCTGAGGGATTTCAAGGGTGTGGTCCGTGGATGGTGTTCGACAGGGGAAGCTGCAGGATAACGGAATATACCCAAGTGCAGTCGGGTACCGGTTCTGTTACACACAGCCACTCGTCCCAACTTGACAAGCATGTGGGTGAATGGCCAGTGTGCATTTGGGGCCACTCACCCACACCCCACATGCCCATTGAGACAAGCAGCTGCTGTGTGCACATACACTCACATGGGCTGCCTGCATGCAGAAACTCTGGCCCATTCATGATCTACAGGCCTCAGCAACCATGTGAATGAGGCCTAAGGCTAGAAGGGGGTAGGAGGGGGAGTCCTAGGGGCCAGTTGGTCCAAGGGAGCAGGAAGTGTAAATCTGGCCTTGGTTACAATAATGTTTACATATATGAAATAAATTATAAAAGTTAAGTTGAAAACAGAACTCAAAGAATTTTTTTTTTTTTTAGAAACAAAACAAGATTAGTTATCTCTGGTGATGACTAATATAGGTTTGGATCGCTGCGTTTTAGGTCCCTTTCAGACGCTGAGCAAGCGGATGACAGGTCCATGTGTACTCCGCTTATGCAGAGTGGACACGGACACAGCCCGTTGTCTTCTATTGGTGGTTGGATGAAAATGGACTGCCTTTCCGTTTCCATCCAACTGCCAACCGATCCTATGGATGGAAGGGGAACAGATCCCCATTTGCCTCTTTTTGGCGGATTGGATTGGATATCAGTGGGTGTAAATGGACACATGGCCGTTTAAATCCACCTCTCCATACAGGAGAATAGAGGTTCCAATCAGGTTGGCATGAAAAATGGGCAGGTAAACCCGATCGGAATGTCAGTGTGAAAGGGGCCTTACTGTACAAATCATAGCTTAATTGATGCCAGGTACTACACACAGGACCCTTATATTGCTTCGACTGCGAGTTTCAGCTCTCACGCAGTGAAAGTATCCTGTTGTTTACCCTTCCCTCTCTCCTTGTCCGTTTACAAAAAGCCCTGTATTCTGTTCACAGAATGCTAGGTATGCTGTGAATGGACAAGAGGAGATCCTGTGGTTTTGCTTTCGCTTTGTCCATTCACAAAACTGCCATGCATTCGGTTTTTTTGAATGGACAAGGAGGGGAAGTGTAAATGACAGGATTCCTTCACTGCATGAGAGCTGGAACACTCAGTCACATCCCTGGAAGGGGAGCTTTGTGTATAGCATTTGGCATCAATGAAGCTATGATGTGTACGTTAAACAGCAGCGATCCAGGTAGTCATCACTAGAGGTAATGTATTTGACTTGTGATGTTCCCACAAAATAATTGAGTTCCACTTTAAAAACAACTTTTTTTTCTCAACCACCTGTTTTTGTGTGTTGGAGGTCTATGTGTAGTCAAGGGTGGTCATAAACAGCCCAACCTTGCCCATGTAATCTCTGTGCAACTTGGCTGATCTTACATTCTTGGTAAGAAGAAGAGGATGAAAATAACTGAATTGCATTTGCACTTCTGAAGTTACATGAGAAAGTGGCATCTCTCCCACACAATTGAAAGGTGTCATCCCACCTATAATCAGTGCAATACCTACCTGTACCCATTTGTGGCCAGCTTAACTTGTGTGTGGTTTTGAGTGCACCCTTTGTTCTAATTCTGTCTAAATTTAAATTAATATGACTTGGATTTTGTACCTTTGTAACATTCACAAATGATGCATGTTGGGACAAAGAGGCTTTCCATAACAAGTGAATGTGCAAATTTAGCCTTTGTACATATGAACATCAATAAGGATTTGTGCACAGAGTGTTTCTTAACCAATCTTCAATGTTACCTGAATGAAAAGTGCATTGAGTAGTAATAGCAAAGAACAGAACTAGAAAATGATAACTGCAGTATTGGCATGTAATACTGGTATGTACCCTTCACTTTAATAGCTCCCACTCCGGTAGAAATTTTGAGACATAGAAAGATGCATGTCTTTTTTCATGAGCACATGATTTCTACTCTTTCTGTTATTTATGTGAATTTTGCTTTAACCACCTTGCCTCTCACACATGTTCTATGGACCTGTTTATTCTGCAAACCTTGTCATTACTAAAGATAAGGTAATACATACTGCATGCTGTTTTTAAAGGACACAACATTCTTTCTTTTCATGATATTGTCTTGCAACAATCATTTTTTTTTATTCCTAGGCAATAAAATGCAACAAATTAAACAAAACACATTTTATTTTTTATTTTTGAGCAGTTTTAGTTTAAAAATAATTAGTGTTACTGCACATTAAATGTGCACATTTTATTTTGTAGTTTTGATTAAAATGACACTAAAATTCTGATTCTGGTACAAAGAATTGCAAAGTTATTAACAAATGAGTAAAGTGGGTTTTTATTTTTCAATTTTGTGCTTTTTTTTTAAAACAAAATAGGAAATAATAGGAAAATGGGAAAAATAGGCCTGATTAGAGTAAACTAAGGGTTAATAAGGGGTTAAACAGAGGAACATTTTAACTTTATATATATATATATATATATATATATATATATATATACTAAGTTCATCTCCTTGATCTGCAGATACATTAACAGAAAGATACCAAAGTAATGTTACTTTGTGCATTTGTATAATCAGTCAGGAGTAGTGTTGTTTATAAACACTGTCAGACTGCTTTTTTGACAGCAAAAGCTGCAGCCTTCTTTTCTGAGTGTACACTAATGCTGGCTTTAATTAAACACAGATGACAATTACTGTATACTGGGAGGGGGGGGGGTCCTAGAATCAGAGCAGAAAGACTAGATGTGCTACAAACACTCTGGGGTTTATTTACTAAAGCTGGAGAGTCCAAAATCAGACTCCCTTCTGCATAGAAACCAATCAGCTTCTAACCTCAGCTTGTTCAATGAAGCTTTGGCAATGAAACCTGGAAGCTGATTGGTTTCTATGCAGAAGTGAGTCTGATTTTGGACTCTCCAGCTTTAGTAAATAAACCCCTTAGTGTACAATAGTGACGTTTTTATGGGCATGTGTAGTATACCCAAAGTTTGCAACTAGTTAAAGTGTATGTAAACCTAAAAACAAAATTGTATCTCACAGCTTATCCAGGCTTTCTTCTTTTTACTTTCACCTGGTGATCCAGCTAATAACACACTTCCTGTCCTAGGGTGACAGCACTTACTGCACTGTATCGAAGGAGGGAGCTATGGTTGTCAGTCAAAACTGCTCTCTTGACTTGGCCTAATAACCCCTCCTTTTCTCCTCATCTACATTCCATAGGGAGGTGTTTTTTGGTTCACAGAAGTTAGCTGGGAAAACTGAAAAGATTGTTTGATATGTTTTAAAGTGGAAGCTCTCTGCTTGTAGGTCACAGCTTCAGCCTTCTGGTAATCTTGTTACTGGTTTTACACCAAGTATTCTGCTTGCCTGTGAATTAGGCTGGCCATAGATGGTGAAATATTCTTTCCTGCAACCACAAGTATAACTGCTAGCGATAATCTCATGTAAAATCTGGGAGGCTGGTTGTACCCAAGTTGATTGATTGATCAACTTGGGTACATTCAGCCTACCCATACATCTTTCGAATCGCAGCGAATTCCTGCTGAACTGGCCGAGATTTGAACCGTCTATGGCCACTTTTATTCATTTATGTCCTATTTAAAAATGTTGATGCTTTAAAGCGGAACTTCAGTAAAATGGGAAAGTTCTGCTCTTTCTCCTCCTCCCCCTCTTCTCCTTCAGATTTGGTACATCATTTTTTGGGGGAGGTGGGGAGCAGGTATCTGTTTTTTGACAGGTACCGGCTCCCCGACTTCCAGTCAGATTGTCGTGGTGATTTGAGCAAAAAGTTGTCCCCCCCTCCTCCCCCTTCTGGCACATGTTGCAGGTCTCAGAAAGCTACAAGACCAATCAGCTAGCGTAGTGTGCCGCACGTCACAGCCGGCTGCCCACGGTTAGTATGCCAGCGCCTGGGACCAAAGAGTAGAGAAGAAACCTGCTGGGGTGAGAATGGCACTGGTATCCTGGACAGTCAGTGGCTGTTTTGTAAAAGTCAGCAACTACAGTTTTTGTAGCTGCTGACTTTTAATATTTTAATATGGGTCTGGAGAACCACTTTAAGATAAGAAAACATTTGTTTGAGCTGTCAGAAAGTGAACAATGGAAATGTAACAAAAACTGCTGTTTCGAGGTATTGATCCAGAATTTCATACTTGTGAATATGCAGGTTTATTAAGACATGAACTGATTAAAATAAGTAATTTGAAAGTCTGGGTAAGACGTGTATTTGAATTGAGATTGCACATTATTGAGGGAGAGCTCAAAGAAAATAAGCTTTGATTAAATCACAAGGAATGCTGTATTAGGCTAGAGCAGGGTTCTCCAAACTTTCCAAGCAAAGGGCCAGTTTACTGACCTTTAGGCTTTAGGAGGGCCAGACTGTGGCCAGTGGAAGGAGAAAATGCCCTGATACAGTGCTCCATCATTGGTTTTAATGGGAGGAATAATATCTCATTGGTGATATCAATGAGATGTATATTGCCTCGTTTATGGTGTCAGTAGGAGGAATGGTGCCCCATCATTGGTGTCAGTTGGTGGAATAGTGCTCCAAGGACCAGATAAAGGCAAACAAAGGGCCACATCTAGCCCGGGCCGCAGGTTGGAGACCACTGGGCTAGAGGAAAGAGACTTTCATAATAATTCATTCTATATTATTTTACAGTTATGACCGCGGGACCACTTACAACGTATTTGTGGGAAAAGGACAGATCATTAAAGGAATGGACAAAGCTCTGATTGGAATGTGTATAAACGAGAGACGATTAGTAAAAGTTCCACCAAGTCTTGCCTATGGGAGTGAAGGAGTGGGTAAGTGTCTCGCCTGCATGTCTTTTAAAAGTATATGGGTACTTACCTTGTGTTGTATCAGCTAGAATAGCTTTAAAGTGGCACTGTTAAATCCCTGCAAAAAGAAAAAGTATTATACCTTTCCAGTGGACCATGTTCACTCTAATCAGGTGCCACAGCCTCTGTCAGACTCTTCAACATTCAAAACGTCTGGGAGTGTTGGATGCCTGTGTCCTCCCACTACACACTGTACTTTCATCATCCTCTGACCCCTATGTCACTACATAACAAAGCAGTGACTAAGGGCTCATTCACACGATATCTGTTGAGCTATGTTGATCTGCATAGATGTGTAACTGAAATTTCTTCTTTTTTAAAATTTTGGAAAGAGTGGAGAGGGATTAGAACCCCTGTAAGTTTTGTATTGCTGTCTTCAGGGCCTGGACAAGGGGCGGGTGGAATGGGCAGCTGCCCTGGGGTGCAATGGATTACTGTAGGAATGGAGCGCCTTCCTCTGAGGAAGAGGTTTTCCCTCAAAACGCATCAGCCTTTCTTTGGCCCTTGGATGGCACTTGTTTCAAGCAGGGACCCTTGGTGCCATATGGAGCACGTTTCAAGGGACTGTCAGGTGTTATGTGATTTGTCACCTTTCATTTGTGAGTACATTTTAATTATTCAATAAATTGTTATTTGGGATAATGCGCTAGGCAACTGTGCTCGTTTCCACTTTTTCTGCAGTTACATCTGACTTCCCCTGTCGTACACAAGAGCTGCAAGGCTTGGCCTATCCACTCATGGGGCCCCCGGGCAATAGGGGATCATGTGGCCCCTGTGTCCTTGCCCAAACTCAAAAAAGCCTATGAAAAAGGTACCAGGGGCATCTCATGGGGCCCCCTACTGACCCCGGGCCCTCGGGTAGTGCCCGAGTTTCCAAATGGTCAGTCCGCCCCTGGTTCCACCACACTTCTCTGTCTTCAGCCCTCTACACCCATGGAAAGGAACTTTTGGCATATTTGACTTCTATACATGGGACAGACGTAGTGACAGTGGCAGTGATTTTGACAAGCAAGTGACTGCTGGGTCAATGGTCCCCTAAGCCTGAGGAGTTTGGCATCTTTGCCCTGGGTGCTGGATGACTTTGTCCCAGCACTAGCTGTCTGTGCTGGCGTTAGGGAGATTCATCCTCTCGATCTGTCATGTTTCCTGTTATCATCAAAAATTAAGTAAAAGAAAATGCCACATTTTGGGATGTCACCAGAACCGTAACAGAGGTGAGATCTTTCAATGGGTACACTAGTTCTGGTGACCCTGGTGACACCCCAGGATTCTCTCACTTTGGAGGAATTTCCTCTCCTTTCTTGTTTTGGCTGTGGGCCAAAAAGTGAAATGCAATCTCCCCTATGGGACACAGATGGCAAAAAAAAAAAACTTAACAGGGGTATAACCCTCCTTAACAGCTTTTTTCCCCTAAATGTAGTATAAAAACGCTAATAAAACGCTAACGCTTCTAAACACTACTAAAACGCTACTAAACACTGTTACCAGCGGTTTTTGAGCTTAAAAAAACGCTAGTGTGCATGGAGCTAAAAAAGAAAAAAGAAAACGGTGCAAGGCATTAGTAACAGATGACTCTGACACTACACAATGCACACTAGTACAATATAATGTACAGGCTGGTGTGAGCAAGCCCTTAGGGTTCGGATGATGGAACCACAGCACATGGCGTGGAGGAACACAGACATTCGACCATTATGGAAGTGTTCAATATTGAAGAGTCTGACAGAGGATGCAGTGCTTGAATGTACAGAAGATATTAGACATGGGCCACAGAGATGTAAGTATAATGCTTCTTGTTTTGCTGGGGGAAGATTTTGTGCTTTAAAAGAGAAGTGTGGTATTTATTCTTTTGCTCAGAAATAGTTACAGTACCTAGGTGGCTGCAGCATCGGACCGATGCTGGCTCTAAGGGTATCAGTCACCGCTCTCTGCTCTGCTTCCCCCCCCCCCCCCCCTTCACTCTGCTCACGTATATATACTTGATTTTGCATTTCCGGGAAACCGCCTGTCGATCACCGGAGATCCCTGCCGGCATCTGGTGATCGCCGAGGAATACTGACGGGAGAGGTCTGTATATAAAAAACAAGATCTCTCCCCTGTCAGCACCAGCATGCTGCTTTGTATTGCTCTGCATAGCACGACAATCCAGTCCAGGAGGCGCTGCTGGAGGAGGGGTAGAGAGGTCCGGTGTCTTCATTTCCCTGGACGCGATGTGTGGGCGGGATGACATGCCGCCCCTGTCATCTGGCCACACCCTCGGGATCACTGGACAGGCTATTGCAGCTTGTACCTCCCTCTGCAAGCTCCGCCTCCTCACCGGTGATTGGGCGCCAGAACTGTAGCTTAGGAAAGGCACACAGGCGGGCAATCACCTGCGAGGAGGCGGAGCTTGGAGAGGAGGAGCCGAGCGGCAGCGCGAAGATCGAGTGAGGGAGCAGCTGGAGCAAGTGAAGAAGACAGCTGACCGGTAAGTTTGCCGTGTAGATGGTGCTGCTGCAACCAGGTATGCTGGCTGTGAATGGGAGAGGGAAGGAGCCTAGGCTGGAGCAGGGGTCAGCAAGGTAAGTGTCATTGGTTTCAGTGGGAGGAATAGTGCCCCATCATTGGTGTCACTGATACCATTGATGGGGCACTATTCCTCCCACTGACACCAATGATGGGGCACTATTTCCCCCCCATTGACACCAACAATGGGGCACTATTCCTCCCCCCACTGACACCAACGATGGGGCACTATTCCTCCCCCCACTGACACCAATGATGGGGCACTATGCCTCCCACTGACACCAATGATGGGGCACTATGCCTCCCACTGACACCAATGATGGGGCACTATGCCTCCCACTGACACCAATGATGGGGCACGATTCCTCCCACTGACACCAATGATGGGGCACGATTCCTCCCACTGACACCAATGATGGGGCACGATTCCTCTCACTGACACCAATGATGGGGCACGATTCTTTCCACTAACACCAATGATGGGACACTATTCCTCCCACTGACACCAATGATGGGACACTATTCCTCCCACTGACACCAATGATGGGGCACTATTCTTCACACTGACACTAATGATGGGACACTATTCCTCCCACTGGCACCAATGATGGGGCACGATTCCTCTCACTAATACCAATGATGGGGCACTATTCATTCCACTGACACTAATGATGGGGCACTATTCATTCCACTGACACTAATGATGGGACACTATTCCCCCACTGATACCAATGATGGGACACTATTCCTCCCACTAATACCAATGATGGGACACTATTCCTCCCACTGACACTAATGATGGGGCACTTCCTCCCACTGACACCAATGATGGGACACGATTCCTCCCACTGACACCAATGATGGGGCACTATTCCTCCCACTAATACCAGTGATGGGGGACTATTCATTCCACTGACACTAATGATGGGGCACTATTCCTCCCACTGATACCAATGATGGGGCACTATGCCTCCCACTGATACCAATGATGGGGCACTATGCCTCCCACTGACACCATTGATGGGGCACTATGCCTCCCACTGACACCAATGATGGGGCACGATTCCTCTCACTAATACCAATGATGGGGCACTATTCATTCCACTGACACTAATGATGGGACACTATTCCTCCCACTGATACCAATGACGGGACACTATTCCTCCCACTAATACCAATGATGGGACACTATTCCTCCCACTGACACTAATGATGGGGCACTTCCTCCCACTGACACCAATGATGGGACACGATTCCTCCCACTGACACCAATGATGGGGCACTATTCCTCCCACTAATACCAGTGATGGGGGACTATTCATTCCACTGACACTAATGATGGGGCACTATTCCTCCCACTGATACCAATGATGGGACACTATTCCTCCCACTGACACCAATGATGGGGCACTATTCCTCCCCCACTGATACCAATGATGGGGCACTATTCCTCCCACTAATACCAATGATGGGGCACTATTCCTGCCAATGACACCAGTGATGGGGCACTATTCCTCCCACTGACACCAATGATGGGGCACTATGCCTCCCACTGACACCAATGATGGGGCACTATGCCTCCCACTGACACCAGTGATGGGGCACTATGCCTCCCACTGACACCAATGATGGGGCACGATTCCTCCCACTGACACCAATGATGGGGCACAATTCCTCTCACTGACACCAATGATGGGGCACGATTCTTTCCACTAACACCAATGATGGGACACTATTCCTCCCACTGACACCAATGATGGGACACTATTCCTCCCACTGACACCAATGATGGGGCACTATTCTTCACACTGACACTAATGATGGGACACTATTCCTCCCACTGGCACCAATGATGGGGCACGATTCCTCTCACTAATACCAATGATGGGGCACTATTCATTCCGCTGACACTAATGATGGGACACTATTCCTCCCACTGATACCAATGATGGGACACTATTCCTCCCACTAATACCAATGATGGGACACTATTCCTCCCACTGACACTAATGATGGGGCACTTCCTCCCACTGACACCAATGATGGGACACGATTCCTCCCACTGACACCAATGATGGGGCACTATTCCTCCCACTAATACCAGTGATGGGGGACTATTCATTCCACTGACACTAATGATGGGGCACTATTCCTTCCTCTGATACCAATGATGGGACACTATTCCTCCCACTAATACCAATGATGGGGCACTATTCCTCCCACTGACACCAATGATGGGGCACTATTCCTCCCACTGATACCAATGATGGGGCACTATTCCTCCCACTGACACCAATGATGGGGCACTATTCCTCCCACTGACACCAATGATGGAGCACTATTCCTCCCACTAATACCAATGATAGGGCACTATTCCTCCCACTAATACCAATGATGGAGCACTATTCCTCCCACTAATACCAATGATGGGGCACTATTCCTCCCACTAATACCAATGA